GAAAATGGAGTATACGTCTTAGATTTTGACATCCCCGACTGCAGCGGCGACTCGCACGAACTAATCGACCTCGTGCCACTGCGCTTCGAGCACATCCACCGCAAGGACTGGAAGCACCCTGACGGCAGACCGTGGGTTCCGCACCATCCCCACCCACGCGAAACGGCACTTCACAATCCCGATCCGGACGGAATATGCAGGGATTGTCACACACCGACGACTTCAACGAACGTGATCGCCGGCCGGGGACTCGCCGCCATCGCTGAAGTAGAGCGCCACATGCCCCCAAGGGAAGGGATGTCGCAGCTCGAGCTCGAAGTCACTACCCACGGCGTCTTCGGCACGCCAGAACATCCCCTCATCGGTCCCCCCTCGCAACACCTTCAGGGGATGCTGCGCGGAACTGGCGTCGGCACCTTCGATGCCCGTGGCGAGCCGCGACCCTACACCTACGAAAAATTCTTGGAGACCTACCCTCATCAACACGATTCGACGAAGAAGCTCACCGTGGAACAAGAGGAAAACTTGGCGCGCCGCGAAGCTGAAGAGCTTCGCCAACTAAGCCTCGTAGAGGCACGCGGGACCCTTGCTTGTGCTGCCTGGGGAGGTGAAGAGGCAGAAAATGACTCCAACGAAGGAGGATGGGGAAGCGCTAGCGGATGGGGAACAAGCGACGCTAGCGGCTGGGGAGACAGCGACGGCACTTGGGCCAACGCGGGCGGCGGATGGGGCGCCGCAACTGGCGCCGACAACAGCACCTGGGGTACTCTCTGCGAAGAACGAAGGGGGGGAGAAGATGAAGTTGAGGAAAGTCAGGCAACACCCGCAATCGTTCCTCTCGGTCGTCCCCCGCGCCACGTTCGACTCGCACTACCCCCTCATGACAACCCCCCGCGCCGCGATCCATGGGACACTATCACCTGGGGCAACGAACCGTCAACACCACGTCACACCGCCTACGGACCTGCCCCTGAACACCGTGAACCCACTTTCGTCCCTGGAACCATCACTGAGACTAACATCCCACTCTCCAAAATTAGGGATAGAGAATTCCTGGCGCTGATGCTGACCACCGCAACAGAAGAAGAAACAGAGGAAGCAGCAACGGAACCAACCCCCGCACCTGACGAAGAGCCCGAGGAAGCACGCGCACGCTACATGCGCACTTCCGGCTTTCGCGGTGACGACACATTCTGGCACCAGCGGCTCGTCCACCCTTCCCGCGCAACGCTGAAAAACTGCATCGACGCAGGCGTCTTCGCTCCTGGCGCACTCCTGCGCCCCGATGGTTCCGAAGTAAGCGGCACAACACACTGCCCTGAAGCTGCGCTGAGCCACCAACCGTTCCCGCTACTCGAACCTGGAACGAATCGCTACCCCAAGCTGCACAAGGTGTACAACGATTTCCTGAACGTGGGGCATTGCGGAGTCAAAGACGAGATGTACACACTCACCTTCATCGATGCCGGCACGCGCTACGTGTGGGTCGTGAATGTGGAGACGCGCGACAGAGCATACGAAGTATTTCGGCTTTGGCTGGCGCATGCGGAGAGGCAATCCGGGAAGAAACTCAAGATCTGGCAATCTGACGGCGCGGCAGAATTCAGGTGCAACCAGATGCAGACCTTCGTGACACAGAAGGGGATCGAGCACCACATCTCTCTCCCCTATGCGCACCAACAACAGGGCGTAGCCGAACGGACCAATCGCACAATGATGACGAAGGTGCGCGCGCTAATGAAGTAGTCGAAATTGTCGCCGATCTACTGGACCTACGCGATGCATCACGCCGTGCGGCTGCACAACCTGCTTTCGACCACCGCAATCACCGGCAACCTTTCCCCGCACGTGAAACGGAGTGGAACCAAAGGGGACACCTCCATGCTCCGAGTATGGGGGTGCATGGTTCAATACCGCCCGCCGACCTCAACCATCGGCAAGTTCGCCAGCCGCGCACGCTGGGGAATCCACCTCGGCATCAGACACGAGCACAAAGAGTGGATCGTGCTGGACCTCCTCAGCCAGAAAAACACTCACGCTCGCGACGTCAACTTCTACGAGCGTCTCTTCCTCGACCAGTTCCGCCGCGACGAGCAGACAAATGCGAATCGAGTCTACGCCAACGACGGTCACAGTTACGCAACGCCCGAAGATGAAGCCGCTGCAGCAATCTTGGAGTAGGACACAAGGGGGGACTTCGCATGGGAAAACCGGCGCAGCGACGATGACGACGACGACGACAATGATTCCTCAGGAAGAGGAACAGGGGGAACAGGCGGAGGCGGAACAGGCGGAAGCGGCAGAGGCCCAACGCCGCCAACACCTGAACCGGAGAGTGACGATGACGATGTGCAGGAAGTCATCCCGCAACGTCGCCACGACAGCACCATCTCAGGGCTGCAGCTGCTCGGACTTCACACCGCAACCTTACAGGCAGCACGCATCATCGAGCCCCGAAACCTGGGTGCTCGTCGACCGCGCAGCAATCAAAGGCACAAGAATCCTCTCAGGGAAATGGGTCTTCCGCGTAAAAACCGCAGCAGATGGGACAATCGAGCGCTTCAAAGCGCGTTGGGTGGTTCGCGGCTATGACCAGAGGCATGGGATCGACTTCAACCAAACGTTCGCCCCAGTCACCCGCCACACCTCCGTCCGCATCCTGCTCGCCATCGCAGCTGCAAGGCACCTGCCACTCCGCCAAATCGATGTGAAGAACGCGTTCCTGTACGCGATAGTAGACGCCGTGATCTACGTGGAGCAGCCACACACCTACGGCGAAGGAGACTCGCGCGTATGTCAGCTGCGCAAATCACTCTACGGGATCAAGCAGGCCCCAAGGCTGTGGCAGCAGTACCTGCATAACATCCTGCTCGAAATCAGGTTCAAGCAAATGCCACACGATCCAGGGATGTATCGCCGCGACTCTCGCGGCGAATACATCCTCCTCACTGTGTACGTCGACGACCTGCTTTACACAGGCTCAAACAACGAGCTCCTCCAGCAGTTCGAAAATGCTCTGGCGGGGCGCGTCGACATCACATGCAACTACGAGGTGAAGCAGTTCCTAGGCCTCAACATCACCTACGCGCCCGAAGCCATTCACCTTTCAGCGGCTAAGTATGCAGAGGAGTTAGGGAAGCGGTTCAACATTTCACCTACACCTCCCTCAACTCCCTACTGAAACCCCGGACCGAACCACAAACCCGACGCCAAAGCCCTACCCCCCCGCTGGGATTCAAATTTATCAACAACAGCTGGGATGTCTCCTCTTCGCCTCTGTCACCTGCAGGCCAGACCTCTCGTACATTGCAAGTCAGCTAGCGCAATACTCACGCAAACCAACGGCTGAAAACCTTCTGGACCTACAACGCGCCCTCCAATACTTCGTTTCAACGCCTAAGATTGGGCTGCGTTACTCCACTGCACCAACCCCATCCTTCAATCTCACCAGCTATGTGGACGCCGATCACGCAGCAGATCCCGATAATCGACGGTCCAGGACTGGGTTCCTGTTCCGACTCGAGCCTACGGGACCAATTTCCTGGAACTCGCAGAAGCAGGAGTTGGTTGCCCTGTCATCAGCGGAAGCAGAATTCATCGCAGCAACCGCAGCAGTTCGCGAAGGCCTCTATCTGCATGAACTCCTGCAAGAGGCGAAAATTCCAGCTTCGCCAACATTTCGTCTTCACTGCGACAACCAGAGTGCGATTCGCATCGCGAACAAACCTGGCTTCGTTAACCGCACCAAGCACATTGCGCTGCGGTATTTCTTCGTGAAGGACGAAATAGACAAAGGCAAGGTCAACTTGACCTACTGCCCAACAGGCGACATGGCAGCAGACTTCCTCACGAAGCGACTGCCACGCCAGCAGTATCAGCACTGTTCCGAACTCAGCGGCGTGGTCAGGCAGGTCAAGCCAAGCTACGTCCAGGAGTGAAGGGGGGTGTTACAAATAGTAATATTCAATATTACTAAGCACTCCTCACCGTAGCAAGGCACGCACAATATCGGGAACGAACGCAAGCGTCAGACGGTTGGAATTGAGTCAAGGAGTCGGACGGTTACAGCACATCTGAACCGTCGGAAGCAAACGGCATCGGACAACTACAGGCAGGATGGTTTTGGCGGGAACAGTTACGAAACTGTACGCGCCGAACGGTTGGGACGCATCCGAATAAGGGAATGTACCCCTTAGAGTACATGGCTAGTTAGGTCGTTTCGAATTCCCTTGTACTCATATTTATATCGCTGTATTTGCATGTTTTATCATCTCAAGCATTTTACATTCACTCTGCTATTGAGGTCAAGGGCACCAACACTACCCACTGCGTGCGAACCTACCAGAGCAGATCCTGGGTTACGATCAACTTCTGATCGCAACAGTGGCCACGTGTCCAGCATCGTGGCATGTTCGAGCACGATGTGGCAACGCGTCCCGCCCGTCTTGACGTCAGTCAAAGAAACTCCCGCCCTTGGTGTTGCCACGGGGGCTATTTGTACCCTGGTTACACACTCGGCGCGAAAGGTGAGTTGGAGCTCTAGGTCCTTGTAAACCGAGGCGCAAAATGTTGACGTGGCGCACTGTCAAGACGAGCAAACCGGGTAACCTATGATGTTGACGTGCGGCTCGGCTCGTTTTTACAAGTTTGAATGTTGGGGTTCTACCTTGTATGTGTGTGTGATTTTTTACAGTGTGGTAAGCCCGATGTTCGAACTTCGATAGAAGGAAATTCGATCTTCTTTCATTGTAAGTTCAAAACTAAAATTCGCCCTAAAAACATAAACTTTTACAAATTTCAAAGACCACACGCGCCCTAAAACAATGCACAAATACCCCTGATACACCCATCAAGAATAACTCTAAGGTGCGGATATGATTTCTACATGATGACGTCTACGTACATACAACAGCTGGGCAATTATCACATCAGACGACCCCACCAAACACGAATGAAATCACATAAAATGCCACGATACTGCAAGAAATGGGACGCCGCCATCACATGCTGCTCGCCCCACCAGCCGGTTTGAGGTACGGCACAACATGCTTCTCAATGACGCCTCGAGTGAGCCACAGGTGGTTCCCAGGCACGGATACGAAGTCCACTCGTCCGGCCTCCACCAGCCACTTCATCCCCACCCAGTCCTCCTTGTACAGTTGAGTCTGTCCGGGGTCAGAAATGCACAATGCGGGAGGGGAAGGGCATGGCAATACAGGGTTAAGTGGGAGGGCAATCGAAGAACAAGACATGCAGCACCGTGGGTAAAGGAAGGGCCGCGGAAAAGGGAGAGGGACAGGTGGCAGAGGCAGGGATGGGGACGGATGCTGGTGGGGGGAGTGGGATCCGCAGGTGTGGTCTTCAGTAGGCAGGAAGTGCAATCTAGTCCAGTTATGTTGGCACAAGGAAGGAACAAGCAGTGAGTGCGCGTCATGGGGTGAGTGCTGGGATGGGAGCATACACGGAAGCGAGGGAGAGTTAAGAGAACCAGAGAACACAGGAGGGCCTCATAACTGCCAAGTAGTGCTAGAGTAGGTGCACTGTGAGTGCATTGCGAGTGCATTGTGAGTGCATTGTGAGTGCATTGTGAGTGCAATGTGAGTGCAATGTGAGGGCATGGTGAGCGCGGAAAAAACATGAGGGTGGAGGAGATGGAGAGCGAGCCGCCCTTTGAGGCGCCTAAAAACGTGAGAGGTGGCTTAAAAAACAAGGTACAAACTAGAGCGGGGGGAGGGGATGGAGAGCGAGCGGCATACCTCATTGATGGGAAGAATTTTGTTGAAGTCATTGGGGGCGAAGAAGCCAAAGTGGGCGGTCTCCGGTGGGTAGAGCACTGTGTCTCCTGTGAACTGACCGATGGGGGGCAATGGCAAGGGTATGACAGACAGAACACGGTCTCCGCTGGGAACTGAAAGCAATTGTGAGAAGTCAAGGTAGGCGGCATATGGTGGGTAGAGCACTGTGTCCCCTGTGAACTGATTGATGGGGGCAGGCACGGGTACAACAGACACAGTGCGGTTCCGCGAGAACTATACGCATTACGTAGTGAGAAGCCGAAGCGGGCGGTCTCTGGTGGGTAGAGCACTGTGTCTCCTGTGAACTGATCGACGGGGGCAATGGCAAGGGTACGACAGACACAATGCCGACAGAGTGCGGTCTCGGTTGAGACGAACAAGCTGCACAATCAATGTGCTTGTTGTCACTGTTGTTCTCCTCAGTTGCTAGCTGACACTGTTCTCCACTGCTCTTACCACATCAGAACCGTGCTGGAGAACAGTGTTGCCTAGCAGTGAACGTATGGGGGCAGGGGTAAGATGGATGTGTGAACCTAGCACTGCAAACGAGGATGCACCCGTGAACACACCCCCAGTAGAGTCCCACCGTGACCGAATCCCCACTGCCAACCAGCGCCACATGCCCCACCTCGATGTAAACCAACCACCCACCACGTATGCAAAGTAAGCTAGCACCTTTGTAAGGGCCATGCATTACAGAGAGCGGCTTTTGAGGTGCATCAAAGCCACGCCCCACGTCGATGTAAACCACACACCCACCACGAATGCAGAGCAAAGCAATCACCTTTATGAGTGCCACGCGCTGCAGAGAGCGCATGCGATCAGCATAGGTGGCGTTGCGGCAGGAGGCGAGCTCGTTGTTGACGTGCGGCAGGTACTTGCACCCTGCCAGGTACCCCGATATGTCCTGCTCGGGAAGGTGGGGGAAACGAGGAGCGGGTGAGAGGGGCGACGCTTGTCGGTTAGTTGTAAAAAAAAAGGAGGCCGGCTCGTTGTTGACGTGCCGCAGGTACTTGCACCCTGCCAGGTACCCCGATATGTCCTGCAATGGGAGTGACGGAGGAGGGGGCGAGGGGGAGAGAGGAGAGGGTGACTTGTGCGACGACTTTGGTACATTGTGAGTTGACTCATAAGGCATGGCAGGTACATGCAGCCTGCCACGTACCGAAGCATGTCCAGCATTGTGAGTGACGGGGGAAAAGGCGGGGGGAGGGGAGGGGGGGGGGGGGGGGGGGGTGGGGTGGAGCAGGAAGGAGGAAGGAGGGGGAAGGAGGGAGGGTGAGGGGTGAGGAGGCTGGTTAAGGGCCAGGCGTACCACTTTGTGCTGGCTGGCTTGCTGCAGTCGAAAGCAGATAAACATTAATCTTAATCGATGATGGCCGAGTGCAGAGTGCACAGCGTGCAGAATGCAGAGTGAGCACCGAGTATTGCGGGCATGACTATGAGAAGGAACAAACGCACCGTAGGAATCTTGACGTAGCCTGATGGTGCGACCAGGTTCTGCAGTATTGTAGAGAGTGGCGGGGGGTAAGGAAGGAGGACTTCGAAGGTAAGGTGATGGAGGTGGAGGAGGAGGAGGAGGAGGAGGAGGAGGAGGAGGAGGAGGAGGAGGAGGAGGAGGAGGAGGAGGAGGAGGAGGAGGAGGAGGAGGAGGAGGAGGAGGAGGAGGAGGAGGAGGAGGAGGAAAAAGAGGCATGCTGGATGGGAAAAGGGTAGTTGACAGAAGTATGAAGCGCAGCAATAGAGGTTGTTGCGAAGGGGACAGAGAGGCTTCGCATAACATGTTTGGCACAGGTGCAGGTGGGACCAAGAAGTGATGCGATCAAAACGAGGGGAGGTTCCCCATGAGGAGGAGGATGGGATGGGATGGGATGGGATGGGATGGGATGGGATGGGATGGGATGGGATGGGATGGGATGGGATGGGATGGGGTGGGATGGGATGGGATGGGATGGGATGGGATGGGATGGGATGGGATGGGATGGGATGGGATGGGATGGGATGGGATGGGATGGGATGGGATGGGATGGGATGGGATGGGATGGGATGGGATGGGATGGGGTGGGATGGGATGGGATGGGATGGGTCTGATGGGATAGCATGGCATGGGACGAAGGGAGTGCGAGGGGAGAGGGCTCACCTGCACCATGTCAGAGTAGATACCAAACTCCAGAACCGAGTCTATGAGCTGACACACTGCATGCAGCTGGTGTGAGAGATGGGGGGTGGTATGGTGGGGCAGAATGGGGGGAGACGGAAGCAGAGGATGAGAGTTGGGAGCCGAGAGGCCACATGCACCATGTCAGAGTAGATACCAAACTCCAGAACGGAGTCCATGAGCTGACACACTGCGTGCAGCTGGTGTGAGAGATGGCGGGGGGGGGGGGGGTATGGTGAGGCAGTATTGGGAGAGAACGATGGGATGGGTAGAGTAGGTTGTTTTAGGCAACAAACTCCAGCACGGATTCTATGAGCTGACACACTGCGTGCAGCTTGTGTGACCGCAGTGGGGCAGCATGGGGGGGGGTGTATATGGGGGGAAGGATGGGGGAGGCAGAGCAAGGTTGGGGGATGAATGGGGGCGAACAATGCGGGAGGCAGGCTGAGGAGAGCAGAAACCAAATGAGAGGTGTGCGGGAAAGGGTAGGGTGGGCAAGTGGGGATGGCGGCGTATCATCAGATCAATGAGGTGGGTCGTCAAAGAGGGAGAGAGAGCTCACCACACACTGAGGCGTGGAAGCAACTCCAGCCTGCGGCCCTCCAATGGATACCAGGGAGTGCACCTGGGGATATGGGGAGATGATGGTGGGGCCACGGAATACAAACGGAATAAGAGCGGCGCAATGGCAGAACAATGCAGGGCAATGGTGGAGTGAGTGGGGATGGTGAGTATGGTGGTGATGGCAGTGGTGATGGTCAGGACCAATAACAGCTATGAGACTGATTTTGACGATAAGGAAGGGAGGTGTGGATTATAGGATAGACGGATCCTGTGACAGCAACAGGAGGAAGCTGGAAGCTCGAGTGTTGCTGATCAGATGAGTGACAGAAGCTCATGAGATAGAGCAAGCAACAAGACCTCTGCTTGCTGATACGTTTTGGCCGGACAGAACAGAGAAGAACAGAATGGCTGCATTGAAGTGGGCGATAACATCGTGTGGAAAACATCACATCGAAGTGGAGTGGACTGAAACTCACCCGTGGCAGGCCACTTATGAGTCGAATCAGAAGCCACCTCGATTACAGAGCTTGTGGAAAACATCACAGAACAAAACAGAAACTCACGGGTGGCAGGCCGTCGCATGACTGGATGAGGGCCCGAGCAATCAGACCTCCCTGCACGGCAAGGATAAATAGAAGCGATGATGGCATGCGCGGGAGCAAGCAGGCAGATCGCAAGGGAAAAACTGCACGCCAACAACATGATTGACTTGATACCAAGGAGAGAGGAAAAATGGGCGTGAGAGGGGAACGGGCACATAACATGGGTGGGGACAGAGCATGTGATTGCGTGAGCATAGGATTCTGGAACAAACATTGAATGACGAAAAGGGTGGGAGAGGCAGGAGATGGAGACGAGGGAGACAAGGTGGCATTCGCCTTTGTGCTGGAGTAAAGAAAATCTATCTGGTACACGTTTAGATCGAAACATGCTCTTGTTGTCAATTCAGAAAAAGGCCTTCGTTGTTCTGTCTGTATCGATCCAAAAGCATGCATTAGCTGCTGCGCTTAATCCAAGAACAGCCATTTGCTGTCGTGTTCGAACAGATAACATGAATTGCCACCGCCGTGTGCTGGACTTGCCTGGGAGAGGCCGACGAGGTTGAAACCGCGTGCCAAGTGGGGCATGGCTCGCAACTGCCAGGAGCAACAAGAGCAGATGCAAAGCAAGCATCCCCACCCATCCCACACGAGTGAGTGCAACACTTGAGCAAGCGAGGCTTAGTCCCGTTGCATGGGCAAGGAGGAAGGCAGAGAACCTGGAATTCGCATCGCAGTGCGTGTGGTGGTGTGGTGCTGCTGTGCTGGTGGAGGTACTGTGCACAACGGCTGCAACAACGGTTGCATGCAAGAGAAGAGAGCGTGTAGGGAGGCAGAGGCGCTCCCTGGCGCGTTGCCTTGCCCTGCAAGGCACTGAGGGTGACGATGCTTGCAACCAGGTGCAGGCATAGGCCCGTCGGGCTCTAGAACAATGTGTTGAGGCGATGGAATAAAAAGCATATCCAAAGTACGGGAATACTAGTCTGCTTGTCCAGGCAGGCATGCAAAGTAGAGCAGAACGAGCGAGCAAGGACAGCGTGGGTGACATGACAAGAGCAGTATTACTCACCTTGCTGCATGCCTGCTCAGTCTGCTTGTCCAGCCTCATCAGCCAACTGTCGCTCGCTCCTCGCCCCACCTCTCTGCACCGAAGTCCATGCGCACGCGCGCATGAGAGAGACAACGTGGAGTACGTGCAAGAAGTGAACTCGAGCCAGTACAAGTGGGTCAGGCAAGACAGCATAGCATAGCAAAATAACAGTCAGGAACAGGCACACAGAATAGCACAGAAGCGAGTCAGCTCCGATAACCTCTCAGTCACAAAGGTGTGCGTTCACACCATCCCACACGACCACAGCTCCGCCACGACTTGAGCTCACATCGCTGTACATCCGTGCCCTTGCACATCGCTAGTGAGCCCACAGCTAGCACAGGGTTGAAAGACGCACTAAACTTGGCGCACTGGCGGACTGAGGCAATCAAGCGAGCACATGCAGAAACGGCTAGATTTTCAAGAATGTATTTGCACCCCAGGAAGGCTCGATAAGGCCCATGCCATGCAATGCCATGCCATACAGTGAGCTCTAGGCCATGGAGAGGCATGACTCGTCAGAAAATTCTAAGTTCCTTCACAATACTTCTGTATTTATAACAAAGAAACTCGCGGGACAGCTAGGGACGCTCGTATGCACCAGAATTGTTTACAGATGCTACTAAATGGCACATTTTGAGAGGCGAGGGGTGAGAGGTGAGCGACGAGAGGAGCGCCGCGGCGAGAGGAGAACGGCACTCACACGCACGATCCGTTGGCGGACGACAGCGACGTTAGCAGTGACACGAAGTTACCCATGCCGCCGTTCGAGCACGCATCGCCGAGGCCTGCACAGAGATAGCGGATGGTGCGAATCACGTCCGTGGTTAAAAGTAGAAGCAGCAGCTTGGGAAAAAAAACTAGATTCAGAATGTCGCGTTTTCAGAGCGAGACTTCACGAAAACGCGATGCGTGTGAGTCTTTTCTTCGTCTTCTTCTTTCGCTTTAACTTGTTTCGAACGAGAGGGAGAGGGGAGAAAACGAGCGCGCTTACCGTGGAGAACGACGAACGGAAGCGGTTCCTCGGCCTTGGTTCGGATATGTTCCGATTGGGCAGTACCGAAGCTGGGAAGAGCAACTAGTAGCACCGAAAACAGCAGAGCAGGGACAAACCACTCCGCGCAGCGCGTCGCGCGACCCATCGTTTTCTTATTGCTGCGCTCCTACTGCTTTTGTTCAAAGGTGATTGGTGTGAGTGGAGCAGTAGATTATCCTTGTTGACCGTAGCAACAAGAAATCATCCGTTCTAACTTCTAAGTTGTTTGTCTCCTAAGACCCTCAATTGCTCTTGCTTTTCATGAGAGAAAAAATCCCTGCAAATAGTTGGGCTCAAGTTCGGTTAGGATGGTTTCGAAATTGTTTCATTTGGGCGGATTTGGGTTGGATGAGTTTGACTGGACTCCGCTAATCAGCTTCTTGTTCTGCTGGTCGCGAACAAAACGGGAACGGAATGATAACGGGAGGGAGGGAGCTCAGCTCAATGCTCAGTGCTCACCGTCAGACGTACCGACACTACGGCCCTGTTCGCCACGCCTTTGCTGGGCCTCCAAAGGGATGGGCGGGGGATCCGGAATCCGCCCTGCACCTTCGAAAAGGGCTGAAATCAGGGTTTTAGGGCCGGTCAGACCGACAAATCCTGTCGAGCCTGAAGATCCCCTCCGAACCTCGGTGGGCTCGCTGTCGTGGCGAACACCCACATTTCTGGGCCATCAAAGGGATTGGCGGGGGATCCGGAATGCGCATGGCAGTTTCCTGCCCTGCCAGCTAGAAATCCCATCCCTTCCCTCGCCTCTCCCCCGTGCAGACCACTAATTTCGGGGGTTCATCCCCTTCATGAAAAAAATTTGCCCCTGAAGGAAGGGGGGAGGCAGGCGCTAGATCCCCTTCACCCCCTTCCTGATCCCATTGGCGAAATTTCAGTCAAGGGCGAGCCCCCCCGGACGTAATTTGCAGCTTCCTTTGCACCTTCAAGAGCCCTCGCCCATACCCCGCCCCTTGTCTATAGCGTGGTCGTGGCGAACATGGCCTGAGGACAATGGAACCTTGGGGTTGGCTGGGGGTGTTCTGACGAGCCGCAGCGCATGGACAATGTGACCGTCCTTCATATAAGCTACATCAGGCGCAAGATGAAATGCACATTCGTTTCGCCTTTTCACGAGATCACTATATCTTTGGCATGGCAAACCGTGCTCCACATCTTCAAAGCCGTGTATATATCCCTCGGAAATCAAAATTTGATGTGTAGAATATGATCAAACTCATTTTGTTTTCGTAAAAAATAATCAGGGGAGGAGGTGGATGGAAGACTCATTATTGGAGCTGAACAATGAAGGGCTTATATAATTTTCTAGATAGTATATCCTACGAAGGACACGGTTTTAGCGAGAACGGAAAGTTCAGCCAGGTGTAAGGAATTTTCTCGGCATTCCTTACGGAGCCGACTACATCGCGTAGAGCAACAGCCGTTGTTCGCCCGTTACTGCTAACGGGACTTCGCTGACTTCGCGCGCACTGTTTTGCCAAACCTCGCACTGCTGGCATGGCCGTATCGGCCTACGCTTCGGGACTAGCCCGAGCCTCGCTCCAGCGTAGCACTAGCAAGCTCGCACGCACCGCGTTACCGTTTTGCATGTTTCGCGTATAAATGTTCGCTCATGCCTTCGCTCACATTTTGTACTCGTTTGACACCTTAGTGCAATTCTCGCTACTTCGACTCATTGCACCCGTAACACTTGGTATTCAGAGCCCCTTTCTTTTCGGACCGCGCATCTCCGCACACCAGGAAATCAACTTTGATTTTTCACTCGAAGAGACTTACGCACCTTAGCCCCTAGGAGCCGCTGTCCTCGCGTTCTCTCGTAAACGCGTGCAGCCACGACTGCGCCTAGACTAAGACGAGCCGACGCCCTTCGTCATGGCTGAAAATATCGACGTCACCACCCTCACGCAGGAGCGTTTGAACGATCTGCTGCGACAGCTGCGCGAAAGTTCCGAGGAAATCGCGGCATTGACGGCAGAACGCTCATCGCTGCAAAATGACCTCACGAGGGCACAACAAGCACAATCTCAAGCACCTGGCACTCCGATTCAACCTGCACCCTCGACATCACAACACGGGAGTGTGGGGCAACCCGCGAGCGCGGCCAGTGATGGCGTCGTCCGCCCCGACGGGGACGACGACCACGGCACGACACACCCCGGAGCGACGCATGCGGCCCCAAGTCAGCCTCGCGTCACGATTTCGGCACCAACCCACGATTCGGGACTGCCGTCACCGAGGCCGCTGAAGCCGCAGCGCCCGCCATGCTTTGACCCGAGTCAACGGGGTGGTCCTACCGTTCAGGCGTGGTTGTTCACGATGAGTGTCTTCTTCGACGCCAACTACGTCTCGGAGGACTCGGCGAAGATTCGATACGCCGTGTCGCTGCTGCGAGGACCCGCCATGGACTGGTGGCGCGTCATCGTCACGAAGCCGACAGACTACGCGACACTCCGACACGGGAAGGACAAACCGGACCCTGGGCGCCGTCGTATTTCGTGGAGGTGCCCCAGCATCGCACGTGGGACGCGTGGTGCGCAGGTCTGCGCGCTCGATTTGAGCCAATTGCGGCTTCGATCGCGGCGCGACAGAAGCTCCGCACTTGGCGCCAACTCGGTTCCGTCCAGGACTACACGAGCGGATTTCTGGCGCTATGCGAACAGGTGGGCTACATGCATGAGAGCGAGCGCATCGACCGCTACATCGGCGGCCTGAAGCAGGACATCGCTCAGGAAATCCAGCTTCGCGGCGTCACCGAATTTCAGGAAATTCTCGCTATGGCGGAGAAGCTCGACTTCTTTCGCCGACCGAGACCGGGGTCCTACGGAAACAACAACTGGGGACATCGACCTCGTGGGACGAACGAGAGCGCCACGATACGCGCTGTCGCCGCAAATGCCGCTGCCGCACCGTTCAAAGGGCGCTGCTTTGCGTGCAATCGGCCGGGACATCGCAAGAGCGAATGCCCGGAAAACGCTAAGGGAAAGGGGGAAGCTGTGTCAGAATATATTTGCTGTCTAGCCTGCAGTGGGGTACTCTGTAATGAGTACAACCCAATTTAGGGCAATGTACTTGTATCCCAACTCTTGCTAGTCACTTCACTTCCCTTCCAATTTCTCGACTCTCACCTAACCCACTCGAACTTACCTATCTCCTAGTGTGGGCCTAGGCTACTAAGCCTAGGCCCCACACCTAATATTTTCACAAGCTGAGCAGCAGAAACAGACCAAGCAGCAGGGAAACGCTGGAAGTCAGTAGCAGACGGGCCCTCTACAGACAGGTCACGCCGCTCGCCCGACCCAACCGACCCTCACCGAGTGATTGTGCCGGTTCACGCAATCGACCACACCCGGCCGAATAAGGAGGGTACCACGGTAGACAGCCCTATACTGCTCAGTGGGAAAATTGGGACGGACTTAGTTAAAATCTTCGTAGACGGGGGAGCCAGCCACAGCCTCATTAACACTGCTACAGCACGAAAACTGCGACTGCCACTGGACAGATGCTTACCTGAGATCGACGCATGACTGGTAGACGGCACGCCGCTGGCAATACGGGAACGCGTAGACCGAGTTCGGATTCGATGCGGGGGTAACTTCACGTTTAGCCAGGAAATGCTCGCAACGACCCTTGACGGAACCGACATTTTACTCGGGCGTGATTGGCTGCGACGACACAATCCGCGAATCGACTGGACGACGGGTGACTGCACCGTGCGAGTGAACGGTAACAACATCGCCTTACCTCGCTGGGGCTCGCCTGAGTCTTCGTCGTGTCAGAACATTATAGCTTACTTATTTGTGTAGGCTATAGTGGGGTATCCCATAGGGGGTACAACCCAATTAGGGTTTCCTATTTGTACTCACTTCGTTCATAGTCATTCCATTCTCGTTCTTTGTTTCACATGGAATCAGAGCAAGTTCCCTCCTAGGGACTGCTTCTAGGGCCCACCGAAGCGCGCCCCGAGGCGCGTTTTCCTTTTTTTTAGCGACCCGTCGTGTCGCCCCTAGCGGCCCGTGGCGCCGCCCTTCCTTAGCGGCCCCGCCGCCCTTCGATCGCGCCCCGCCCCCCCCTTCGATCGCGGCTCCGCCGCCCTTCCTTAGCGGCCCCGCCGCCCTTCGATCGCGGCCCCGCCGCCCTCTATTACGCGGCCCCGCCGCCCTCTGCTAAGCGGCCCCGCCGCCCTTCGATCGTGGCCCCGCCGCCCTCACGCGGCCCCGCCGCCCTCACGCGGCCCCGCCGCCCTCTGCTAAGCGGCCCCGCCGCCCTCTGCTACGCGGCCCCGCCGCCCTCTCCTAAGCGGCCCCGCCGCCCTTTGATTGCGGCCCCGCCGCTCTCTGCTACGCGACCCCGCCGCCCTTCGATCGCGGCCCCGCCGCCCTCTACTAAGCGGCCCCGCCGCCCTCTGCTAAGCGGCCCCGCCGCCCTCTGCTAAGCGGCCCTGCCGCCTTGCTCACGCGGCCTCGCCGCCCTCTATTACGCGGCCCCGCCGCCCTCTTCTACGCGGCCCCGCCGCCCTTCCTTCGCGGCCCTGCCGCCCTACCTGCGGCCCAGCCGAGCCGCCCAAGCCGCAGCCGAGCGGCCCAGCATCAGCCGAGCCGCCCAACAGCAGCCGAGCGGCCCAGCATCAGCCGAGCCGCCCAGTCGCAGCCGAGCCGCCCGGCAGAAGCTGAACCGCCCGGGAGCAGCCGTGCAGCCCAGCAGCAGCCGAGCCGCCCAGCAGCAGCCGAGCCGCCCAGCAGCAGCTGAGCCGCCCAGCAGCCGCCGAGCCGCCCAGCAGCCGCCGAGCCGCCCAGCAGCCGCCGAGCCGCCGGGCACCCTTCCTGGAGCAGCCGAGCCGCCCAGGGAGCAGCCGAGCCGCCCAGGAGCCGCCGAGCTGCCCTGCAACAGCCGAGCCGCCCGACCTGCCCTGCCCGGTGAGCACCGTACCGCTGTCACTGCGTGCCCTTCCCCTACTGCTTGCACTGCTCCACTGTCGTCGTCATGGCTACCCCCAGTGTCCTCGCTTTTGACGCTGAGGGTCGAGCCGTTGACTTTGAGGTCTGGGTCAACGACCTGCAGCTGTTCTTACAATGCGATAGAGCTGACGGCCTTTCCCTCTTT